CTACTTTGATGTTCCAAATCTGAGGTGATCTGGTCCTAGCCACAGGGACACTCATCATTTAAAACACTTACCATGGTTTATGATGATAATGTAGCAATATGTGGCCAATCCTTTATTATTTTTTTAAAGAAGTAGCAGAATTGCCCTCTGGAAAAGACCTGTTCTGGTGACTGAATGCCTAGAGAAGCTGAGGTGTGATGAGACCTCACAAAGACGGGCATATGAATGCAACTCCATGTAGCCCCACCTTGACCTTTGTCCTGCTGAGGGGTCCTTGATCCTGTGAGCCAGCAGTGTTCCCCCGACAGCAGCCATCTATACCCAACCCTCACCCCACACACTACCCATGCTGCTCTTGCATCATTTTCTTTCAACTGACTTACTCTACTTAATTAAATTTGTTTGCAGTGAGAATTTTGTATCCCTGTATGACATCTGAAATCACATTTTCAATTTGCTAGTTTTTTGATGTGAAATCAAAACATAGCTGTCAGAAATAATGTTCTTTGTTATGTCACCTGAACTCTGACTCTGTCACCCACCGTAGCTCCTGATTTTGCTCTTTGTGAACTAGCACTCTGACAGACAAGGGGATTTAGGAGGCTATGTGGTGGAGAGAAGAGGGGGAGAGGAACATGTCTCTGCAGCAGGTGTATGATGTGCCACATCTGGCTGTCAGGTGGCTGTCACTCCCAGGATAATTTGGAGCTTGGGCTGATGAAAGGAATGCAGTGAGGTACTGTGCACAGCCTCAGCGTGAACTCAGGTGATCAGAGTGAGGTGGTATGCTTCCCAGTTCAGGGGAACCATATCACAGTTGCCTCCACCTAAAGGCTCTCTCATTGCTTGGCACAAGATATTCTTGGCATGATTTATCCTCATCTGTAACATAGACAAGGGGGTCCAGTGCAGCATATACAAGGATTACATGAGTTCAGATTTCACTGTGCTCTGAAAGCTGAACCAGGGAAGAGATGGGTAAGCAGACCTCCAGAAAACACGGGCAGATGGAGAGAATTATTATGAAGGTAGAAGACATGGGGCTGAGGTGGAGCATGACAAGGAACCAGATTTTAGAAGGGCTTCTTGGGGAAGTTGTGGCAGAGGAGGGGCTACTTAAAGCAGGACATAAACAGTGAAAAGGAGCCAACCAGGATGGAATTAAATTGTAGAAAACTGGGGCACCTGGGTGGCTCAGTGTTTGAGTGTTTACCTTCGGCTCAGGTGGTGATCCCAGGGTCCTGGGATCAAGTCCCTTATTGGGCTCCCTGCAGAGAGCCTGCTTCTCTCTCTGCTGATGTCTCTGCCTCTCTGTCTGTGCCTCTCATGAATAAATAAATGAAATGTTTTTTTAAAAAAAATGGTATGAAACCAGTTGTCACATTTCTGAGAAATCCAAAATAGTAGGTAGAAATGAAAGGCAGATGTAAAAAAAAAAAAAAAAAAAAAAAAAGAAAGGCAGATGTACTGAGAATGATGACCCGTCATAGCTGCCCAATTCCTGGGTGCCAGGGGCATTGTAGTGAGGACTACTGTATATTAGCCTAAAATTCCTTAGAGGAAGGTTGCCATTCCCTGGGGATAATTGAACTCACTTAGTCCCACTGGAATTTTTTTAGGCACCAGGAATATGTTTAGGCCAGGCTCATTGTAGGGACTGGACTTTCTAGAGCCTCTGCTCAAGCCTCTCATAGCACACAGACATGGTTATTAGTTTACCTCAAGGGAAGTTTTTTCTTGGATCCTGAGAATTAGTCTTGATCCAGGTGATGCAATTTCTCGAGCAAGTTCATGATTGGTAGCACTTAGAAGGAGATGGTAGTGGTGAGCTAGACATACATCATGAAAACTGCTGCATGGGTACCGTCCTTTTTATAGCCAGGCAGTTAGTCTTACTAGACTCTGACATTTGCTAAGACTGGTACCTAGTAGAATATTTTAGAATAGCTTAGAATAGAAATAATTTTATTTAGATACCATGAGTATATGTGCCTCTGGTTAATCAGGTATTTCCGGGGACAAGTCAGACTAGACCTGTTTAACAAGCCCTTAAAATTATTGCTATGCTAGTTTGGCAAGCAAATCTGAGTGAATTTAAGCTTTGGCTCTCCTAGATCTCTTGAATATTTTCTAGTGATTGCTGCCATTAGCTAGGAATGACTTATAGTAGAATGTCATGTGTAGATGTAAATACAGCCTTAGGAGGGAGGTTCACAGGCTGTGGTATGGTGGTCAAGACCAATGTCTGCTTCTCTGTGTTTCTGGAATAAAAAGTTGACCGGTGACAGACTTAAGTTGCTCAGACTTACAGATAAAGTATGAGCCAAAATATGCCTTTCTTAATTTGAAGAAAACATCTATTCCAAAGATAAGATACTTTCCTGTGGCAGAAACAGGAGAATGACTTGGAGAAGTTGAGTGGCATCACGAAACATGGTGTAGCCTCACTTTGGATCCTGATGGAGTGCCATGGGCGCTGTAGTACTGTTTGGCTCACCTTTTGCAGAGATTGACCATATTTTCATATATTTTTTTCTTCTGACTGCTTACAATTTAGTTTTTGGCTAAAGCTTTAGGCCAGTGGTTTTCAAAATTTGGTTTTGAATAGTCTTGAGGGGGAAGGGGCAAGGTTAAAACCAGTTGCATAATAATACTAGCAGATGATTTAATTGCCTTTTTTCACTCTTACTCTCTCATGAGTGTACAATGGAGCTTCCAGGGGCTGTGTAGTATGTGAGATGGCATCTTTTCTCCAACACTAGTGGAATATGTGCTGGTAACATTGTGTTTTAACCTTTCTTTTCTAGAGAGAGAGAGGAAAACAAACAAACAAAAAAAGAGTATGGGAGGAGGAGGGAGGGAGGGAGAGGGAAAGAGAGAATCTTAAGCAAGCTTCACACCCAGTGTGAAGCCAGACTCTGGGCTCAATCTAATGACCCTGAGATCATTACCTGAACTGAAATCAGGAGTTGGACACTTAACTGAGTCACCTAGGTGCCCCTTTTAAAGTTTTCTAATATAGTAAAGATTGGTTGATGTAACCCACATAAACACAAGCTCTTTGGGGGCCTCAGTAATTTTTTAGAGCATATAGGGGTCCTGAGACCAACAAGTTTGAGAACCTGTTTTACACCTATGAATAGGCAGTCACTCCAGAGTGCACTTGTTTTTTATTCATTAAACAGCTCTTCCTTTAATACCTACTGTGTACCAGGCTAGGCTAAACAGCAGCAGATTCCAAGTTAGCATATTATTCCAGAAACCTGGAAACATTTTTTTATAAACCTTGATAAGTGCTATGAAAGAAAAGAACAGGGTTACAAGGATAGTGAAATGCCCCTTTTGAGGAGAAATCTGAGGAGGGGTTGGTCATGCTGGATGGAGTATGGAAGCATTACCCAGAAGGAACAAGGGAGTATGGAGTGCTGGGTGACCCAACACCATGATTTTGGGTCTTTTTATGTTTACGCTTGTACTTTCTGGGAATGTGAAGCTATCTTTGCTCAGAAATCATTGCCTTCAATGTAATTTCTTGAAAACCAGCTATATTTGTAAGGTTTCCAGCAATAGCTAAATGCCTACTTTGGAAAATGAGCTATGAAAAGGTCCCTTCAGTTACTGCTTTGTCTCTAACGGTGCTGTGATATATGCCCCTCATTGTGCTGGGGATATATTATTATTCACATAATTCTAATTCTCTCTAAAAGGCCGCCATAGAAAAGAATTCAGTGTTAGCACTATTTGCTAGGCAATGCTGGGAGTCATTTATAATGGACCTCATTTGAGAATTCAGTAGTTTTTATTGTACACTCTCCTCCATGAATCCTATATTGTATATATCCTATATTTACTTTCTTAATGGTCAGTTTTAATTAATTGCCATTGTGAAAGCATGTTCTTGGCACAGCCCTTCATCAAGAGTCAACATGTATTTATCAGAGCAGCCACAGAACTGGCCTCTCCTTCAATTGTAGCTCATTATTGAAGTTGAATACAACTGGTTATTTATAGAAATCAGAGTCTCTCATAAGGAAGCATTTTTTTTTTCCACAGAGCAACTTCTGTACTAAGCAGAAAGTTTGCCGAAATGCAATCTCAGTCTGTATTGCAGCATCTAAACACCAAGTTAGACTTTATTTGGCTTTATTTCTGTGAAGTCAGGCCTGCTGAGCTGGCAGTAAGGAGCAGATTATTATCTCTTGGTTTGGGATAGCAGTAGCATTAAGTAATGTACTGAGCAGTAAGTAAATGCCAGGTGGTCTGGTAAGCACCATTTCTAAAGTACCCCACTGTGATGCCCAGAACCTGTGTATATGATGAGGCATTGTTCCCATCATATTATGTTGTATGAATGTAATCACATGAGCTTTTAAAAGCAGAGCACTTTCTCTAACTGGTGGCAGAAGAAGACATGAGAGAAATAAGAGTGGGCTTGAGAATGGGGAGGGATTGATGGGGAATGCAGGTGGCCCCTGCCTCACAGCCTGCAAGGAACTGCACCTGCCAACCACCTGTGTGAATATGGAAGTATATTCTTCCCTGGAGCTTTTGGAAAGAAGAGAGACCCTGAGCAGAGGACCTCATCACACAGTGTGTCAGATTAAAAATTTCTGTAGTTTTAAGCCCCTAAGCTTGTGGTACTTTATTACACAGTAGTAGAAATCTAATATAGGTGGAAACACTGTCCTTAGAGAGAAAAGCCTTTCTGGCTTGGGCACTGCCAGACTGTCACCTCTGAAATCTCTGTGCTGATGATGTCAAATGCTCTCTTAAGCCATCTTCTTATTATTATTTTGATATTTTGTATTCATTAGAAATACAATACTGTAATGACTTTTGAATTATTTTGACTGTTGGTAAGAAATAGTTTTTACATTGAAAGTTTATTCACAAACACAACTGAAAAAAAAAATACCTCCAAAAGACTTAATCCATAGGATGTCAGATGCTTTCTGACATCTTCTATTTTATTTCATTTTTTAAAAATGTAGATAATGACTCAGTAAATTAGTTTCTTCACTGATTTTTCCCAGAGTTGGAAAATCAAAACAGTTGGTTGTGCTTCTGTAGTTTTATTTTATTTCTTAAACTTTTAATCACATGTTATTTTAAAAATGAATTTGTTATTAGGAAATAAGTGTTCATGGTAAAAGTGGTATAATGGTTGGGAAGGGTCTCCATTGAAGTACTTGTTTCTCCTGCCCAGGGTCCCTGATCTCTTTCCATGTTTCAGAGGAAACAAATCACTATTAGGAGCCTTGAAGTGTGCACCCTTCCATGTGGGCCAGCACACATAGCATGGCTCTCCCCTCTGCCTGTTCCCTCTGTGTCCCCAGTTTGGAGCATAATAGTACCTTTCCCTTCTTTTAATGACTACCCAGTGTTGTACTATCAATGTGCCAGTATTGACTCAGTCAACCCCAGGCCCATGGGCACTGAAGTTATGCCAAGCAATTTCTCCCACAAACAGTGCTGAACAAACTTATTTGTGCATAGGTGTGAGGATGAATTCCTGAAAGAATTCCTGGAACAAAGTGAATGTGCATTGTAATTTAGAGAGCAATTGCCAAATTGCCATCTTATGGAGTTAAGCAATTTGCTTTTCCACCAGCAGTGTATAAGCATGGCTGTTTTCCCACACTTTTGCCGACACGGGTATTAGGTAATTAAAACAACAACAACAGGTATATTGCAATGTAGTTTTAATTTATATTTTTCATTGTAAGAGAGGTTAAGCATCTTTTCATGTTTTAAGAGCCATCTGTACTTCCTTTCCCCACTTTTTTCTATCAAGTTTGAGGTTGCTTGTCTCTTCCCCTCCTTATCCAGTCCATCTTCAAATTGCTTCTGGCTTAAAAGCAAACCATTTCTTGTGGCCCTGTTGATGTAAATCAGATGGGTGTATTCACTTTTGTTAGGGACACGAGACCCCAGATGTTTAAAAGTAACATTGTCCATAATGAAAAGAAGTCCCACTGAGGATTTACAGCAGAGAAGGAGGGATGGGAAGAGGGTGGTAGTAGAGAATGTGGTTGAGAAGTAACATCCTCCTCAACCCACCTCCGCCTCAGACTGGGGTGCCCCCACCCCAAGCTTCCCTCCCCCACCTCCAGCCACCAGGGGCTCCAGCACTGTTGCCACCACACCAGGGCCTGGGGCAACCCCAGCTGGGCCCCCCCCCCTCCTGCACCCACCACCTGCCCGGTCCTGGCCCACACAGCTTCCCCCGAGAGCTCTGCTGCCAGGTCAGATGCTGCTGAGCGGGGGTCCCCCGGGGCCCGGATCCCCAGCCGGGCCTGCAGCCCAGCATCATGGAGGACAACATCCTCATGGATCTCATCTGAACCCCCGACACCCAATAAAGTTCCTTCTAACACACACACACACACACACACACACACACACACACATACAAAAGTTAGAAAGACAAGGGAAGGAATTGAAGCAAAAGGAGAGTTGAGGAAGTTACGGCTGGTGTCCTGTAGTGAGTAAGTCCCTCTGATGTGAAATTGGTAAGTTCCTGGCATGGACTGAGAAATGGACTTGATGAGCCTGTTATTGATAGCCCTTTCAATGGCAGTAAGTTCTCACAAAAGGAAATGTCAGCTTCTACAGAGTAGATGGAAAGTTTTCATTTGGTTGTTTTTGGCAGCCTTGATAAAATGATTGAAAACAGTAAATCTGATAGGAAAAACAACCACTAAGTGACTTGAGTACTGCAAGACAAATTCTCTAAAATTGTCATTCCTAAGAAATAAAATCAGCTAGGATTTAGGCCTAGATGGAATCCAGAGGTTTGTTTGCATAATTGATTACGACATCTTAAGAAGAGGGGATTTTTACAAAAATTTTTTTGTAGTGAGATTACTTTTCATTCCTTTTCATGACCAGGAAGTCTCTTGTTTGAGAACCAACAAAGAACTTCAGGAACACAGGACTTTAGTTTTTTCGACACACATGAATTTTCTCATTTTGGACATTTACACATCCTTTTATCAGCAACAGTCCTGTGTGGCCTCATCTCGTAGAGGAGGGAGGGCACTCTCCTTTTCCCCTAAGGCCGGTACTGCTGGCCCGTAGCCTGCCCTGCGCCACCTGCCCTCTGTCCTCAGGATGAATGGGAGAGATGTCCAGTGTGCCAAGCCTCTGAGAGGGGACTGCTGGCTCCTGACTTAGCTTGACTTCCCCAATTGGACCCTGGCACTGTATTTGAACTGTATTTGTAGGCTTCGTTTTGTCCTTGCTGTGGATGATCAGTCCAGTTGTTTCAATCCTCATTGGTAGGTTGACAGATTTTACCCTGCTTGATGCCAGCAACAAGTTAAGCTCTTTAAAATTATTGATGCTATGCTTTGGTGATCATTTTACATGTGGACTGGTCCTGAATTTCAACATGGGCTCCCCTTTAGCTGGAAACAGCAAGAGCCTCTTATGAGATCTGTGATGGCCTCACAAATCATGTTCGTTTCTCATTCTTACTGGAGAAGGAGTCAGCCAGGATAAGGCATTTGTTGGTTTGTATTTATATAAAACAACAGAAAGTAGATTTAAAAAATATCCTTGAAACCTCATGAATTAATAAGAAGAGAAAATTGGGAGGCTTGTTGAAGCTTGGATGTTACCTGCTGCAAGTGTCTCATGATATTTTTGTGGGATTGGAGAGGATGACATGAGCCCAGGGACACAGACTGAGGATGCTGAGACTATTCCTTTTTTTTCTGAATAAGCAGATCAGAGGCTTGGAACTGCTGCCACCAGCTCACAGGCATGATGCTTTACTGCAAGTACACACATGACAGTATGAGTTCCCAGGGGTCCACCTGAGACATGAAATTCATGGGAAAATGATTCCCCGTCCTGTTGTATGTGTGGACTGCGGCTCCTTCCTTGGTGCAGGGCTTGTTCTGCCCTGAGGCTCTTCCCTCCTGCCTCCCAAGTACTCCCCTGTTCTGGGCGAATGATGATGTGATCATTACCCCAGACTTCCCCCCTCCCTTTTTTTAAAGATTTTTCTTTATTTATTCATCAGAGAGAGAGAAAGAGGCAGAGACAGGGAGAGGGAGAAGCAGGCTCCCTGCAAGGAGCCGGATCCAGGGATCACACCCTCAGCCGAAGGCAGAACTCAACCACTGAGCCACCCAGGCATCCCTAGACTTCCCTTTTTGATGTGGGACACTTGAATTCAGGACAGGAGTGAGAAGCCATTTTCTTTTTATTTCAACTTCCTGACCTCATGAGACTTACCTCCTCCCAGGACACTGAATATTTTCCACATTCAGTTAGAATATGTGGATTCTTTGGGGACTCAGAAGATGTGCTAGTTGAGTACTACCGTGTGATTTTAGCATACACATGCAATGTGATAGCGTGTAACTTCTTGGACCAGGTTTCAGGTTGAGCTAGATTTAAAGTGATGTTGAGTTCTCCTGCTGGGGAGCAGGAAGAGTGGTCCATTGAAGACCTCAATCAGACTGCCAGGCCTAGCTCTCCCCAGATGGATGTGTTTGCTGGAGAGGGCAGATGGGGAGAGCTTCTGGACAGTGGTGCTGCTGGTCTTGGTGGCTGGCCCATGGCAGGGGTCCTGTAGCTTGAATGCCAGGATGAGAGCATGCCCCTGGGGATGACACTTAGGAAGAGTGGGGGCTAGGCCTCATCCAGGAATTGTGGGGCTCCCTCAAATCCAGGAGCAGGGCTGAAGGCCACTTGTGTGGGCCTGGGGAAGGAAGGGAGGTAATGTAGCCTTGCTCTTGATAACAGCCTCTGGTGCTGTTTTCATGTGACTGTTTAGGTTGTGTGGGACAGATGCTTAATCAGGCTGACTGCCTCAGGAGGGGGGAATGCATTTATATGAATATGCATGGTGCTCCTAGGCCCATGGGAACTCAGGAATCTGAGTCTAGAGAAGGCTTAGCAAGCACCCTACAGAGGATGGAGTGGGGGGGCTGGGGGACCCCCTAGCAATGGTTCTGCTTCCTCAGCTCAGGTACACTCCTTGTTCCTGTTTCTCTTTCCACTTCTTTGTCCACTGTGGTACTTCCTCACCCTCCAAGAGCTCTTTTCTCATTTTGGCTTGTTTATAACCTCTCAGACCCTCTGCTCTGTGTCATGACCTTTGACTTCACATTCTTTCAAGATTAAATTTTCTTGATTATTTTTCTTAATTCACCATCCCATGATTAGAACTCTTGGGAATATAATGTGCTCAGCTCTCTCTGGGGCCCCAGGTTGAGCTATGGATTGGTGACCCTGTGGTCAGCTAGTCTCCCTTTTGTGTGTAGAGTTCTGGCAGGGTAGCAAGGTTTCATGGGCCCAGTGTGAGGTGAGTAGGAGAAACATCCAGCCACCCTGATTAGGATTACCTCTGGGACCAGGTTAAATACTGCCAGGTGAGGAAGGGAAGCACTGGCAGGGACAGCAGCTCACATTTCTTTGGCATTTGCATATACCATCTGGTACTTGGTTTCTTTTTCTTTATTTTTTTTTAAGATTTTATTTATTTATTCATGAGAGACACACAGAGAGAGAGGCAGAGACACAGGCAGAGGGAGAAGCAGGCTCCATGCAGGGAGCCCGACGTGGGACTTGATCCTGGGACTCCAGGATCACGCCCTGGGCGGAAGGCAGTGCTAAAACCCTGAGCCACCCGGGTTGCCCCTCTTTTTTTTTTTTTAAGTAGGCTCCACGTCCAATGTGGGGCTTGAACTTAATGAGCCTGAGATCAAGAGTTGCAGCTCTACCAACTGAGCCAAGCAGGTGCCTCCTGTGTAGTACTTGATTTTTGACTTACATATGAACTTTTAATTAGATGCTCAGGAAATAAAGGATCAGTGAATCTGCAGGAGATTGGTATTGCTGCTCTAGAGTCTCAAATATTTCTTGACTACACTTTTACCCACATAGAAGCAAAGAGTGTTTGATTTGTTTTGCCTCTGTGCATCAGGACTTTATGTGTTATTCAGTGAGCAGTGGGACATAGCAGGCATTCTAGCTTCTTTGCCCATAGTCATTTGGAAGGAGATGGCATTCACCATCCCCTTTGCTCATTCCCCTGAAACTGACTGGAGGTGTGTCGTTGCAGGCTGGGGGTTCTTCATTGGCATCGGCTCCGGCATCTGCCTTCTCTCGCGCCTCTGTCACGCCGTCCAATCAGGACATCTGCAGGTAACGCTCTGTTTCACCTGCGGTGCTGGGTCATGTGACATCCGGGAAGTAAGCGCTAGTTTGTGCAGGTTCTGGGTTTTCCATCCGCTTACTTACAGTATGCCTCAGCTGTCAACAGCTGGCTCAGTTTCACGTGCTATGTGCTCACCCAGTCACCCACATGGGTCTCACCACTTCACTTCGGTGTCCGTTCTCTTTTAAGATCATTTGACTTTCTGTGCTTTTCTCCCACTGTTCTCTGCGTGCAGTGCCAGTACGGTGTGTTCTGAGTGTTGTCACCAAAGTCCCGTGCAGTCTGCTGTTGTCTTGAAAGCTCCTCAGTGCCAGAGTTCTCTGACACAAGGGCTCACTGTGACAGTTATCTGTAAAGACACATTGTCCAAGAGAAATTCCCGAGGTTCAGAACGGGCCCCAGCCTTGAAGTCTGCTGACAGCACCAAAGCCAGAAGAACACTAAAGTGCTCGAAATCCCTAAACGATGTGGGTGAGAAGGCCCAGGATACTGTGGGAAGTTTTGACTATGTGGAAAGAACTTGGTCCGAAGGGAAACTGATACTTCCTCAAGATCCAGGTCTAAGAGTTAACAGGTTCCATCAGAAGGAAAAAAGAGAACTGCATTGCAAAACTCTTGGCAGTTCCAAACAGTCTTGTGTTTCATTCCTTTCTGCCAATTATTCAACTGCCTCAGAGATGGAAGCTGGCAAGGGGGGCACGCAC